ATTTCATAACATCAAAGCATAACCGATTTTGATTTAAAAAATTATTAACATACAAGGAGAAGAATAGCATATGTTTTCATGAATTACAGTAACCGATCAGAGATGGGGGACCTCTCTTTAGCGGGTGAGATGGTGGCAAGATGGTGGCTTGATTGAGGCTAAATGGTGGCGAGAAAGTAGCGACCAGCGATATAACGGGGAACCGTTGATGGAGGAGGCAACGATTTGTGTTTGTGCGCTTTTTTTTAGGTTACGATTGAAGATGAAGAATGGTTAATGAGGGAAGAAACAATACAAATGAGGGTAGGAACGTCTTTATTCCCAATCAACAAATGTTACAAAGCATACCGGGTAAGAAAAAATAGTCACACGTCTGATCGAGAAAGCGAACTATCAAATAGTAATTGTCTGACCGAGTCAGCCCAAATTGTTGACTCAGACCGGGTTAAATAGGTATCAAACACACCATAAATCTTCAAATATCTTCATATCTTTTCTAGCCTAAAAAACATTTTTTTCAAATGTTTTTTATCCTTTTCAAACATTAATATTTTTTGTTTGATTTTTTTTTGTAATATTTCTTTTTTACTATAACCAAATACAATAAATATCAAACATAAACATTAATTCATATCATTTTTTATTTTTTTTATATTACAACAATATGTTTAAAAATTATATAATTATCTTATTTAGACAAACACATTAATCATAATATAATATTACAAAAAAATAAAATAAAAAATTGACTATGAAAATGAAATGTTACTCAATAAAAAATGAACATGTTTTCCGCTTTATTATAGTTTCCTACCTTTCTAAGATATTAACGTTTAAACATTTGATAATGTGTCATTATCCGATAATTTGAGGTTAGATGTAATTATCGTAAGATGTAAATTTTGACGGTACATGACATGCTAATTTATATTTTAACAACACTAGATTACAATCCGTGGAATCTAGAGGTCATAGTGTAAAAAAAAGTATTGAAACTTCAAAAATGTAATCATTAATTATATATTTGAAAACAAATATTTATTTGTAAAGTTATATGTTTTGTTGGTATTAGGGAAGTGAATAACTTCTTTTCGACAAATAGATTATTTTATTGATTAGCTTCTTTTCGGCAGACATTGAATAGTTTGCTTTCGTTGATTACTTTTTTTTAATCGTTTCGTATTCTAAAGAACATCAAAACAAGATATATATATATATATATATATATATATATATATATATATATATATATATATATATATATAAAAGTTTTCTATCCCTAAAATGCACTCTAACAAATTGAAATAAGATACCCCCGTGTTTTTTATTTTCAAGTTTTTACAAAAATGCTACAAATCATCATGACCCTCAGTTATTTTGATCTAACGGTCCTTGTTTGGTTCTCGGGTTCTCGAGAAAGTATAAATTCTCAAATGATCATTCCTCTCTCTCTCTCCCTCTTTCTTTCCCTATATATATATATATATATATATATATATATATATATATATATATATATATGTTCAGGTTCATTTAAGACCATGCTAATTTTGTGAGACCAATTCTAAAAATAATTTTAAAATATAAAATAAAAAGAAAAATCCACAAATTCTTTTTTAATTATTAATTTTGGAACTTTATTTAACTAAAAAAAAAGAAATTATCGTTTTTTTTTTAAAAATACGTGAAATATTTTAATAGAATATTATACTGTACATATTCTAATATATTTTTAGAATGTTAGAATATTCTACTAGATTTTGTTAGATATGCAGAATATTCTAATATTCTAATAGAATATGTAAAAAATGAATTTTATTTATTTATTTTTTATTTTTTTGGAAAATATATATTCTGAAAATAATATTGGAATTTTTTTTTTTCAAAAATTTTCGATTATTTTGAATTTTAAAAATGTTTTTATTTTATCTACTAAATGAGTGATTAGGATTGCGTATTACGGTCTTACAAAATTAAACCATCTCACATGAACCTAATCATATATATATATATATATATATATATATATATATATATATATATATATATATATATTATATATATATATATATATATATATATATATATATATATATATATATATATATATAACACTACCTTCGGTGTAATGTTCTCAAACTTTTATAGAAGATGAACAGATATTTGTCTTGTGTATATAACAAGAAAAAGAATACACGCATACATTTTTATTTCTGTTTTCGAAAATAAAATATAGCCTTAAAATACATTTTTTTCCTCTATAACTTCATTTTCAGTGGCCCTAATAATTCAATATCAATTATTTGAATTAACTTCTAAGGTTTTGACTATGTCTATAATAAGTTAATTTTTCAATATAAACAAATTTCTATTTGCCTTATATTAGCAACAGACAAGAAAAAAACGCGAACTATAATAATTTTCTGTATTTGTATTGTCACGATTTTGAAAACCATGAAATTTATATTACAATATATAGTTTAATTTAACATTTTTCTAGTAAACGATCATTAATTTGCTATGAAAAATAAAATGTATTTTTTCTCCGTTAAAAAAAATCCGACTTTTGATGTATTCAAATTATGTTTTTAACTATGAGTCGTTTTAAAGTAAGAAATAAAATAATAATCCTTTTTAATAAATAAATGTTTTTTTTGCCAAATGTCAATCTTTCATGAGTTTTGACACTTGTAATTTTGTGGTATTTTTGAAATAAATATTATTCACTTGTCAATTTTTGGTTTGTTTCAATTTTTAAAATTAAAATCATATATTTATATATGTAAGTATTAAATATCATACATATGATATTAAATTGCAATAAATATGTTTCTTCCTTATTTTAAATTTGTATATTAAAAAACTAGGTGTGAGCCCATGTATTACATGAGTGTATTTAAAACAATTAAATATATATAAACATTTGACAAATTTGAATTTATAAGAAAAATGAGAAAAATATTAAATTACTAAAATTAAAATGTTTTTTTTTTGTCTTTTAAATTTAAACAAACCATTTAGATAACATAATCAAAGCAAATTAATGAGATTTTATTTTTAAAATTTGAAATTATAAAGAAAGTTCATTAATGAAATTTATATGCACTTATTATTAAATTTAAATGCCATATGAAATTTAACAAAATAGGAAAATCACAAAATTACATATGAATAAAAATTAATTCAAAATAACCATAAAATGATATGTGGTAAAATGAATGAGAGTATGACAAGTATCAAAAAAAAAACTTTCATTTACTAAAGAAGATATTATCTATTTAAATTTTAATGTTTAATTTTTTTAAATGAACCCCGTATAATATACGGATTTCACACATAGTAATAATAATAACATTGTTTGTATAACAGTGGGAAACAAAAGACCTACAATCCTACATAAGACAGATTTTCAAATAAAGGCTTCCTCCTACTCCTATAGCTAGTAACTAGTTATTAACAAATTAACCAAACATATAATATGTTATTATTATATGGAGCATCTACTTTGTTATCGTTTATCATACGCAACATATTATATAAAGTTCAAATAAAAAACCATAGACAAGTGTATCACATCACTTGCCTTTTCTAGATGCATATATGCCCAACACGTAGTAGATGTTGACATAGTGTAAGTAGGTATTTAATTCTTAGTTTTATTAATTATACACAACGGTGCAAATAATTTTGTACTTATTATAAAACAAGCAATGTAAGTTTTTTCTTTATTTTTTTTAATAGACGAATGTTATAAAGAAACAAAAAGAAGCGAATAACTAAGAACCAATTACAAGAAGATAGTCTAAAAACATAAAAGAAGTCACAACTATGTTATCAATAAAAGATAAAATTGCAAAAATGGTCCTTGTGGTATGTATTTTTTTGAGGTTTTAGTCCAAACAATGATTTTTTTGGATTAGTGGTCCTTTTGAGATAGTTTGTATATGAAAATAGTCCCTCCGAAAATTGAAATAACTATAATACCCTTGGGGTATTTATTTTTCATTTTTCTTTCATTTTTTTAAATTAAATATTTATTTATTTACTTTAACAGTTAAAAAAAATAATGGAGGACCCACCTCTCTCTCTTTTCTCTTCTCTCTCTCTCTCATATCCTGAGCTATCACTTCATCACACACACACACACACACAAACAGACGAACCTTCCCTCTTCTTTCAATCTCCACCCTTCTCCCCTGATTTGTTATATTTTTTAGATTACACTTCATCAATTCATCAATTCCCCCTGATTCGATTCGATCTTCGAGGATGGAATGATCAGTTTTTCTGAAAAAACATTCGTTCTATTTTCACCATTCTTGTTCATCCAAAAGCTGATTTACCCACCTGCTATCCCTCCATACTTCTCCATTCCTCTAATTTTGATGGGGGAATTGATTAATGGGTTGTTCTTGATTTTGGTTTGGTGTTGGTTAAAAGTTTTAATTTTTATCTGGGGATGAGTCCAGAGGGAGATAACGATGGTGAAGAAGAATAGGTGGGAGGGAAGAGGAAGTTGATGAGGGGAGGAACCTAAAGACACACACATACATGGATTTCTGGTGTGACTAGGGAACCTTCATCCTTGCTCAAAAACTGATGAAGATGAAACCTTCATCCCTATTCAAAAACCATTACAGTACGTCAACTAAATCAAAGATTGGGGTTTCTTGCTCCAAAACCCTTAGAGAACCTGCAACTAAATCAAAGGTTTGACATTTAAAAACAAACCCATATTTCAACGGTTTCATTGTGTGTGCCTTGAATTAAAAAGAAATTTGGAATTCATATGGGTTCTTGAAGAAATAAACTTGAATGGAATCAAAATAGAAGTATGAAATAAAACTAAAAACTTGATTGAAAACAAAATCAGAGTTGTTCCATGGGTTTTTGGTTCTGGTTAGAAGGAGAAACAAAATCGAAATCGACATCATAAACAAAATAAAACCCAAATAAAGATTCAGTGTGTGTATATCTCTTCCCCATGGTGTTTGTGATCAATGGTGACAGGGGATGATTACCTCGGTGCATTTTTTTGTTGTGGGGTTTTCAGTGGTGCAGCTTCGATGGTTGAAGAAGGAAGCTTGGGTTCAACATTCTTGATGTATGGATGATGGTGGCTAAAAGGAAGATGATGAATGTCGATGATCTGGAGTGTGTGTGTTTGCTTGTGTGTGTGTGTGTGTGAGAGAGAGAGAGAGGTGGGTCCTCCATTATTTTTTAATTGTTAAAATAAATAAATAAATATTTAATTTAAAAAAATGAAAGAAAAATGAAAAATAAATACCCCAAGGGTATTATAGTTATTTCAATTTCCGGAGGGACTATTTTCACATACAAACTACCTCAAAAGGATCACCAATCCAAAAAAATCACTGTTTGAATTAAAACCCCAAAAAATACATACCACAGGAACCATTTTTGCAATTTTGTCTCAATAAAATATGCTTTCGACTTTTCTTCATTTCAAACACAACCACATAGCGATAACATGGTCCATAAGATTGCTTCAACTGCATTATTTTTGTCTTGTGATAATTATAACAAGTTTACATTATTGCAAAACTTCAATTGTTGAATTAGAGTTTTGGTAAGGTTAAATCACATCGCTTAGTAAGCTCAAACACCACATCACATACCATGGCTAACGTCTTCATCTATAACAGATTTTAGGAGCTAATTCATACAAAATATTTTTTCTTAATATACAACAGTTTGTGCTTAAAAATGTTGTATTTATATAATTCTATAAAATATAAATTGTTGTGTACAAATCAATCGTATATGATGACTTTAAATTAATTAAATTTATATAAAAGATTATTAAAAAAAACTGATTACTGAATATATTATTTAATTAAAAGTTAAACTAAACGATAATATTTTTAAGTCACAATATAAAAATTACACAAAACATGAAACTGATGTAATAGAATTCCTAACGTAGATCAGCAGATCTAGTTTTAAAGACATTCTCAAAATCAATAATATTGATATTCTGAGTTTTACAATAGTTATATGATGTATTAAATTTTTAAATGTATATTTACTCCAATTTTAAATGGTTTAATGTTGAAAAGGACATCAATAATGTGCATTTTCATCTCTCACAGTCTTTTTCTAGTGTTAAAGGAATCTTTTAAATATTTAATACGATGACGTCTATATGGCACACGTACACTTTCTACTTGCTAACTCGAGGCTATGTGTAAATTATTGGTTATGTAGATTAAATAAATAAATTAATTATACTGAAATATGTCAAAATTTTGCAACCGTGGAGCTTGTTATCATCATTTTTCAATATAAATGGGGCTGAAATCGTAGACTTAGATTTTAACTGTATTTTTTTATTAAAAAAAAGTTAAATGGGATATTCCGGTTATTGTTTTTTTCACACACACACACACATATATATATATATATATATATATATATATATATATATATATATATATATATATATATATATATATATATATATATATAAAAGTATTTTCATTGACAAATAAAACCAATGGGATTAATGGTTATTGGGTACAGTGTAGAGCACATGAAGAGAGGATTGAGTGGAGCTCCCTATTCTTGTTTTACTATGCAAAGAGAACAAAACCATAAGCAAAGTATTGTCAAAATGATTTAGGCATCCCACTGTAACTGAAATTTGTATATTTTAGTGCAACAATCTTATAGGCTCAGCATTCATATCATCATATTAACTATATATTTTAATGGACTACTTTCTGTTTAAGTCATAATAATTCCTAACAATTCGTTTTCTTAATTGAGGCATTTATTAGAATTTCGGGTAATCACAAAAAGGTCATTATTATTATTTATTTTTTTTATGGAAAATAGATAGTTGATCTAACCTTTTTCCATTTGCCAAAATTAATGTCCACCATTTCAGAAATATGTCCATTTTGGCTCACAGACATATATAATACGTCGTCTTTTTCATTTGCAAGTTACATTTGAAAAGAAAAAAAATCGATCTTTAAATCGAGATTTTTAATGTCGTCAAGTTTTCAATGAAATAAACTCTATCAGATAAAATATGTCTTAACATTATTTTTTTAAATGACAAAACGCCAAAACATTTTAATTTTGATCTTTTTAATAAGCCGCCTAATATTTAATATTTTTAAATATGGTTATTTGCTAATCATCCAAAAATTATTTACCTTATATTAAAAAAAAACATTTGGTAATTTTGTGATTGTCGGTAGAATGTCATATTCTGTAAAATTAACTTGCCCTCATTTTTTAAATCAAGTGTTTATTGAAGAAATAATATAATATTAATTTAGATTTCTTAAATTAATTAAAAAAATACAAAAGTGTTTCGAGTGCTCAGCTCTCGCTCTCAGGCATCATAAAGGTATCTTAAGCTTTCTATACAACAAAATGGAATAACATAACTAAGTTGTACTTTATGCATTAAAACATGTATGTCAGTCTGAAAATGAGTCTTTTAGCCCTGAAAAAAGATGCCCTGAAATTTTATAGTGTAATTACTTCAGGCATAGGTGGATATATAGTGAAAGAAAGTACTGTGTTAATGTGAGGAATCTTTGCGATTTGTTTATATTAAACGGAGGAATCTTTGATATTTTTCATCAAATTGTTTCTCATTTCCACTTTAATCAAAGGTAATCTTTCTCTTCTTTCATCACTACCACTGATCTAATCAACTTTTCCTTTTGATTAATATTTTTTTGTGGGTTCTGTTTCATTATCAAGCTTCCCCACTTTTTCTTGCAGCAAATTTGGAATCTTTACTTCGTTCTCTGAAAATGGCAGGACTTTGAGCAACTTTCCAGGTTTGTTCTATCTTTTCGTGAAGTTGATTTCATTTCTTGCTGAAGATTGACAAGTATATTTCAACTTTTTATCATTTTTTTTTTCTGTATGCACATAACCTGTTTGTTCATATGCTTCATGTTCTAGGGTTCTTCATTCAAATGGGTTCTCAGTTTTACTTCAAAAAATTTCATGTTTTCAATTCATAGTTTTTAAAAAAATAAAAACCTTCCGCAGTTCTTCTCCTATCCTTGAATCTTGATGTTCTAGGGTTTGAGTTCACTATCTGAAAAATATATAAACCTCGTTTTTTGGGGTTTCATAAACGGATCTTAAAATTTCATTCAATGTTCATTTAATTATTTACCTATACATCCAAGATTCATGGCCTATACTAAATTTGGTAATGTCAGATTTTCGATACGAAGCTTTTTTTGAGGTTTGTTTGTACATCTACTTAATAAAATTGAAACGTATGATACATCTATTCTCATTTCTTTTGCAGATCGAAAAAGGAACATTTCCAGAATTTATCATCGATCTTAATTCCACTTCTTAAATTATGATGTCAAGATCTTACACCAATCTCTTCGAACTCGCTTCGGGTGAAGCCCCATTACCATCATCCGGATTTGGTCGCCACATGGGAAAAAAACTTTCCCGTGTGGCGACCGTCCCAGGGGTATTATCGGAACTAGACGACGAAGGTTTTAGTTCCGATGCCCCATCATCCGTTTCCCAGGATCGAATGATCCTGGTCGGAAACCAACTCCCACTGCGGGTCCACAAGACCCACAGCGGGAGTTGGACATTCAGTTGGGACGAAGACTCCCTTCTGTTACAACTCAAAGATGGGCTCAATGAAGACGTAGAAATAATCTACATCGGTTGTCTCCGCGAAGAAATCGACCCGAAAGATCAAGATGATGTGGCGCAACATCTCCTCGAAAATTTCAAATGTGTCCCCGCGTTTATACCCCCGGAGCTTTTTAGCAAATTTTACCATGGGTTTTGTAAGCAACATTTATGGCCATTGTTTCACTACATGCTTCCGTTATCACCGGACCTTGGGGGCCGGTTTGACCGGTCTCTTTGGCAAGCGTATGTTTCGGTCAACAAGATTTTCGCAGATAAAGTTATGGAAGTAATTAGCCCGGATGACGATTTCGTTTGGGTACATGACTACCATTTAATGGTTTTACCTACTTTTTTGAGAAAAAGATTCAATCGGGTCAAACTCGGGTTTTTTCTCCATAGCCCGTTTCCGTCTTCCGAAATTTACCGGACCCTACCGGTACGTGACGAGCTTTTGCGGGCCCTACTCAATTCCGATCTTATCGGATTCCATACTTTTGATTACGCCCGTCATTTCCTTTCATGTTGCAGTAGAATGCTCGGGCTATCTTATCAATCCAAACGAGGCTACATCGGGCTCGAATACTACGGTCGAACCGTAAGCATCAAGATTTTACCCGTTGGAATCCATTTAAAACAACTCCGGAATGTTCTTGATCTCCCGGAAACCGAGTCAAAAGTAGCCGAGTTACGCGACCGGTTTCACGGTCGAACCGTGTTGCTCGGGGTTGATGACATGGACATATTTAAAGGCATAAGTTTGAAGCTTTTAGCTTTCGAGAATTTGCTGACTCACCATCCCGAAAAGAGGGGTAAGGTGGTTTTGGTTCAAATCGCGAACCCAGCCCGCGGGCGTGGACGCGATGTTCTTGAGGTGCAATCGGAAACTCATACGACCCGCGAACGGATAAACCGGAAATTCGGGCGACCCGGATACGAACCCGTAATTCTAATCGATATCCCGCTTCAATTTTACGAACGGATCGCGTATTATGTCATTTCCGAATGTTGCCTCGTGACAGCTGTACGAGACGGAATGAATTTAATCCCGTATGAGTACATCATCTCTCGACAAGGGAACGATAAGCTCGATGAAACCCTAGGGGCGAATCCGTCAATTCCGAAAAAAAGCATGCTCGTTGTATCCGAATTCATCGGGTGTTCACCGTCTCTTAGTGGCGCGATACGGGTCAACCCGTGGAACATCGATGCGGTTGCGGAGGCTATGGATATGGCCTTGATCATTGCCGAACCCGAAAAACAAATGAGGCATGAAAAACATTATAGATACGTCAGCACACATGATGTGGCGTATTGGGCCCGCAGTTTTTGGCAAGATCTAGAAAGATCTTGTAGGGATCATGTGAGGAGAAGGTGTTGGGGGATCGGCTTCGGGTTGGGTTTCCGGGTCGTCGCGTTGGATCCAAACTTCCGGAAGCTTTCGGTTGAACATATCGTTTCGGCTTACAAACGGACTAAAAAACGCGCTATTTTGTTGGATTATGACGGGACTATAACGGTTCAAAATTCAATCAGCACCAACCCGAGTCCGGAAGTTTCCGGAATGTTGAATAGTTTATGTAAAGACCCGAAAAACATTGTTTTTATTGTTAGTGGGAAAGATCGGGCTACTTTGACCGAATGGTTTTCATCATGTGATAATTTGGGTGTTGCAGCTGAACATGGTTACTTCCTGAGGTACGAATGCAAGAAATAGCAAAAAAAAAAAAAAAACTTTTTGTTTATTTGTGATTTTTATTTATTTAATATTATTTTTATTTGTGTAGGGAGAATAAGGAAGCGGAATGGGAAACTTGTATTGCGGTTCCCGATTTTTATTGGAAACAGATAGCCGACCCGGTTATGAAATTATACACAGAAACAACAGACGGGTCGACAATTGAGATGAAAGAAAGCGGGTTGGTTTGGAACTATCAATACGCGGATCCGGATTTTGGGTCGTGTCAAGCTAAAGAGCTTTTGGATCATTTGGAAAGTGTTCTTGCTAATGAACCCGTTACAGTCAAAAGTGGTCAAAATATTGTTGAAGTTAAACCACAAGTTAGTATTCTTTTTCCCTTATATATATATATATATATATATATATATATATATATATATATATATATATATATATATTTTTAAATAATAATCGCAACGTGCTTATAATATTTTTTTTGTTTTTTTGAATAGGGGATTAACAAAGGGCTTGTTGTGGATAGACTGTTGACAACAATGAAAGAAAAAGGAATGTTGCCTGATTTTGTGCTTTGCATAGGGGATGACAGGTCAGATGAGGACATGTTTGAGGCGATCACACGGGCGGTTGCGGGCCCGGCTCTGTCCCCGGTGGCGGAGATATTTGCTTGCACGGTGGGCCGAAAGCCCAGCAAGGCCCGATATTTTCTTGAGGACACAACCGAGATTTTGAGAATGTTGCAGGGACTTGCTGCTGCTTCGGAGAATTGTATGCTAAAGAATGTAACAAAAGGTTTTCAGAAAGTGGTCATGGAGTAAGGGGGATTTACGGAAATGCCATTGTTAGTGTTTTTGGCTGTCGGATTGCTTGTGAATAATTATTATCTTCTCCGAGGTCGATAGGAGAGGTTTCGGTTTCATGTTTAGAAGGTTTCTGTGAAATTTGGTATTTTGTTATAGAGAGAGAGAGAGAGAGTATGTAGTTGTGTAGTTTGTAGTTTGGACTTTTGAAGTAAATAAGTTGGCTTTTGGTAAGTCAAACTTATGGATATGTATGGTCAATGCGCTTTATGTATTGTTTTGGTCGTTTGATATTTTCATTCTTAGATTTTTGTTTAAGTAATATGAAAACGGAAAAGTGGATGTATGTCCTTGACAATATCAAGCTAGAATAATAACCATTGAGAGTGTATATTGGCAAAAGACTATACAACAATTTCTCAAATCTTTTGGATAATTACCCCCAAATCAGAAATGGGTTTTTTAATGAAGATGTTTTGTCTTTTCCCACTTTGTTTTCTTTATTAAATAATCTGATGTACATATGAATTTAATTGATTTTATAAAACCTTCCTTGCCATTATGATGATCCTGTACCACATGCCCCATCGCCATTCAATGTACAAGTTGTGGCCTTCCTCCTATAAATGGAAATGTGGACCATTACTTTCTTTCTTCTATGACTTACCCTTTTTTAAACAAAAAATGTGAGATGCAATTATGCATCCTCTGTCACAACAGGGGATGAAACAAGGTATGTTTTGATAATCAAAATGGTTTCTCCATCTTTTTATTGATTGTGTAGAAATTCACTTTCCATATTTCAATAGTATGTAAGGTAGCACCAAATTTGATATCTTCTACTTGATTTTTTTTTGTTATACTCTCATTTAATTTGCCAATTTAATTTGCCAAATGTAATTTTATAGTATTTTGAATTAGTTTTTATTCAACATATCATTTTATGGTTTTTCTATTTTATTAAGTTTCAGTATTTAAATGCAATAATAAATGCATATTAATTTCCTTAATGAACTTTCTTTTTAATTTCAAAATTACTAAATTAAACTCATTAATTTTCTTTATTTATTTATCTAAATTATTTGTTTAAATTTAGAGAAAAAAAAACATTTTAATATTTATAATTCAATATTTTTCCCATTTTTTTTATAAATTCAAACTTTTCAAATGTTTAGAGTTTTATATTTAGTTTTTTCTTTTAAATAAACTAATATAATACACGGGTCTCATACTTAGTAGAATAATCAACAAAAGACATTTTCAACTTTAGTTACTAAGAAAAGTAATATAAATGAGTTGTCACGAAACTTCACATATTAAGGTATTAGGGTAGACGATATCCATCTTTTCTTTTCCTTCGATCCATTTGTCATATCACTACCATATTAATTTCTTTTTTCTCTTTCTTACATCTTTTCCATTCCGGTACATATAGAAACTCATATTTCCCTTCATTCCAACCCATTCCACTTCTAATTTTAAAATAAATAAGAACTAATTAAAAGCATAAAACAAAATTATTAAAAACCTACATAACCAATTCACAAAGAGAGAGAGAGAGAGAGGGAAAGAGAGAGAGAGAGAGAGAGAGAGAGTTCCACAACCCACAATCAGCTTCTTATAGCTGTACCACCCTTCTTCAGAACTGACTAATTTAGTTTAAAACCCAAAAGTCAATTTTCTTTGTGTTATGCTAAACTTTCACCGTTGCTAGTGTTTTTTTGTTCATATTTTTAGTCCAAAACTGTGTCTAGGTTTAAGGCTCTGTGCCATTGACCCTTGCCATTCTTCATTGTGGATGGGATCAAACTCGTCTTATATGCACTTATACCACCTAACTTTAGTAGAACACATGTTGAGTCCCTTCACACTCGTATAAATTCTAATTACATTAAATGAATAGTTGACAGTAAAATCACACACACACACACACACACACACACACACACACATATATATATATATATATATATATATATATATATATATATATATATATATATGACTAATTGAAAATTAATTTCATTGAAAAGTTAGGGCGTTAAAGATTTTTTTTAAACAACAAATATGCTAAACTACTCATAAATTATTATACGACACACACACACACACACACACACACACACACACATATATATATATATATATATATATATATATATATATATATATATATATGACTAATTGAAAATTAATTTCATTCAAAAGTTAGGTCGTTAAAGGTTTTTTTTAAACAACAAATATGCTAAACTACTCATAAATTATTATACCTATGTCCACTGTGGGACTTGAACCCTCGACCTCACGAAGGGAGGGCAACATCGGATACCGCTGGACTAGAAACTCTTTGGTTAGAGGCTTTAGTTTCAAGATTAGTTTTGCTATACTTTCAAGATTAATTCCATAAAAAGTTAGTGTGTTTACAGGCTAATTAGTTTCAAAATTAATTTCACAACATATAATTTAGAGTTTATCAGCATATTTTAGTATAATTATAATTATTATCAAGACATGTTGAGTTTGATTTAGTATTCGAGACCGGAATTATGAGGTGGACACTCAGATTGATAAATGTGAAATTACGAATACATGTCCAAGGAAGCGTCCCTGCTAGGGTCTAGGGGAAGCGCCCCTTACCGGGTCCAAGGTGCAAAGCCCCTAGACCCTGCAAGAGGCACTATCCTTAGTTTATGACATCATTATGATGCAATAGTTGGTTATGTCTTATAACCACCATTGTAACTTCCCTTTTTGGCACCATTTTGAATACAACCAACTTCCAACTGCCATCTTCCTTCCATGGAAAGGGTGAACACTTTTGATAACCGAAATTGATTATGTGTATCTATTTGTTTCTCAAAATCATAAAATAGCAAGATACTTTTTTGTGTTTCAAATTTGGAAGTGACATGAATTCTAAATTGTCATTATTTAATTATCTCAAATCAGATTTTGTGATACCCCAAGAATAAGACAATAAGGTTGAAATCATAGATTTTGAAATGTAATTGCAATCACGATTCTTAAATTAACCAAGTTTATATTGATATTCTTAGACCCAAAATCTAACATATCATTGACATTATGTGATTTTGATTTTTTTGTTAGAACTTTTAATTTCATGTTTGTAGGTTTAAATTTATGTTAACCGTCATTTAAAACCCGATTCGGCTTGCTATTGAAGCCCTTTTCCAAAACACATTCAAAACCAATTATCTAAATGTGACACGACAATAAAATTTCTTAGATTCGAAACAATACAAAGTAGACATTTATCCAAATACATATTTTACAAGAGTGGTTCCGACTTAGTTTGAGGACTAATTTTTTCTTAGTGTTTTATCTACTTGTTAACGAATCAATCTAGTGAATTCATTCAAAAGAATGACATATCCAAACACACTATCAATGTACCTGTGATTTCCTTCTACAAATAAACAACCCTATGGTTCACTCGTGTTGCTTATCATTGTTGGGATCACAGATGCCAGCCCTATAAAAAACAATATGCTGATTGATTGCATGTCGTATAGATCTCCAAGCGACTGTAGCTCACCAAGTGCCATTCCTGCCTGCACATTGGATAAAAACGTCAAAATCTTTACTATCACAATGTATCTGGGACCCATATAGACAAGACATAAATGTCTTTTCATTTTAATCATTAAAAAAAACCCGATATCTAGGCCATGTCCCATTTTGTCTTTCTTTAAATTACCCAAGAGACTTTATCTTCTAAACAAGAGAGAGATTACCCTAACAGTGATAAAAGCAACTGGAAGGAGGCCAAGAGAAGTTGCCAACAGAAACGTGTGAAAAGGCACATTTACAAGTGGAGATGCAATGTTAATAAAGGCGTTTGGCAAAGTGGGTGTCACCCTTAGAAATAGCATGTAGTTTAGTAACCGGGTTTCCCTTTTCGCCACCTGACAACGACAAAACACAAAGTCATGCATCATATTATACATATACATATATATATATATATATATATATATATATATATATATATATATATATATATATATATATATATATATATATATATATATATATGTGTTAAGGCGATGAAGTTAAAGAGGAACTGACCTGGTTTTGGAAGAAAACCAGTTTATCAGGCCAGAGAGACAAGATTAGAGGGCGGCCGATCAAATTAGATAGAAAGTAACAGGAAGATGCTCCGGCGGTGGCAGCAAAGACAACGAGGGCCAATCCTTTGAAGACCCCGAAAAGGGATCCGGCGAGTAGAGACATGAAAACAGTTCCTGGAATCATGAATGTTTGCATGAAAATGTAGACTGTGCAATACCCAACAAGCACCTGGATTGTGTAGTCACATGTGTATCTCTCCAGATTATCCCTGAAAAAGAATCAGAGAAATCTCAAATCTAAACCTATTGGTATGAAAATGTGTTCATAATTAATCCAGATGCATGGAGACATTTATTTGGGGGAATTTTAGGGTGTTTGAAATTTCGATTTAGATTGGAAATGAAAAGGGGGAGAAGGAATACCGGAGGACATGAAGATCTTCAAGCGTTCTTGGAAGCTTAAGGAAGGTGTAGTCAGAAACCGGCAAGGAGAGATAAACTCCGATGAGACTAACAGCGAAACCCAAAACGACGGCGGATGCACCCGCCATCTCCCCATACGTTAATACAAATTTGGATGGCATTGCCGATGATTTCACTGTATTTTCCCTGTAATCATCGTTCGATGTCGTTGAAGAAGAACAAGAAGAAGAATTATCCGATGTTTCAACCCGCCGTTGCTGTTCCATCGAATTGAATTCTTCTTCTTAGTTTCTACTTCAAAATCTGAAAATCTCCAGGGAAATTGAAGATTTGATCATTGAAGTAATGAGGATTTTGTTTTGAAAATTAAATAAGCATCCCAATATTGAAGGCAACGAATTAAGATATAAGAATGAACCTAACACGTTTCTTCTCCGATTACCTGTTTTGGTAACTTTTTTTTTTTTTTTTTTTTTTTTTTTTTTACCGAATTTTAATTCAAAAAAATATACGCGCACAATATAAATTAAAAAACAAATTCTGATAGGTGGAATATGACTTTGTAATGCAAGTAACTATCATCTTTGTAGGTAATTAGTTACTTGTTTATACTAGTTTACCATTAAAAATATCATTTTGACCGGTTAAATTTTGTTTAACCGATTAAAAAAATATCATTAAACTTTTATATTTGTTAGTCCATAAAATATGTTAGACTTATATTTTCGTGACTTACTATTAAACTAAAAATTGAGCATATTTAATCACTTTTATCTTTTCTTATCTTTAATTGAATTTCAATCAAAATTAGATGGTGATATAATAGCTAATTCCTTGTTGCAAAATTAGTAATTTACCAACTTCATGCTTCTTTTTTTCTTTTTGAAATATCAAAAATTTGAAACATCTACTTGGATATATATATATAT